TTGGGGGTTCCACAGCTGGATGTGTGTATTGCCCAGTGCCTAGCTCGCCTGTAGTGAAGGTTGTGCCTTTCTTGCATCATTAACCCTCTGAAACGATCGGGAGCTTTTACAATGAGCAAAAACCCCAAGCTTTACTAGCTAAAATGAGCCAGCGTGGCTAGGATTAAATTATAATGGACTCTTTGTTGGACTCTTTTTCAGGTGTGTCGGCGCAGTCCTTCCTTCACTGCTTTACACTGACTAGTTCTGCTTTTAATCTGCAAGTTGCAACTCCTGGGGTAAGGAAAAATGGGCAGTTACTGTGATTTTTCGTTTGGCAGCGGTTGGCAAGAGAGAATTACACTGAACTTCTTTTGAGTGGAGTTTTTTTTTGCTTTATGGATTAGAAATTAATTAAATTAAAAGAATTTCTGTTTTGAAAACAGAATTCTGTTTAAAAATTCTGTTTTCTTAATGTTGAACTGAATTTGGGCTTCCTGTAGCATGGTTCTGAAGTGCTCTGTCTGGTGTGATACCCACAGAGAGGAGGGAGAGTTATTAGAACCACTTCGGTGGGGAAGACTTGAGGGGTTTGAGATCTCAGGTCTCTCAAAACACGGCATGTTTATCCTTCGGGTGACATAGCGGATGTCTCTGCGCAGATCCTAACCACAGTCTGTGAACCATGTTTTCCCTAGGGGAAGTCAATTGATTTTGTGGATGTGAACGAGAGCAACGTGCGCTGGATCCAGGACTTCCGTATGAAATCGTATGCGAACCCTGCCAAGTTGGAGTCGATTGATGGTAATGGCTTTAGTGTTACCAGGAAAACAGATGCTTCTTAGTGTTCGGTCTTTAGGGAAGACTGACGCAGGAAAGGCATAAAACTTGTGTTTTAAGAGGAAGTCCTGGCAACTGTAGTTACTGTCTTATTTATCTTGGGTTGGCAATTCTCTCATTCTGTACACACACAGCACGTATACATACGTATGAGGGAGGATACACTGTATGTGTTGGGGTATTTTTAAATAAGTATTTTGTTAAGCTAGGGTCTGGCAGACACAGTGGTTTTAAGCTTTTCCTGGGTAAGAATGTCCCACTAAAAACGTATGGCCTTTGTCCTGAAAAGGACCTTTTTCTCTACTCCACATATATCTGATCGTTTCTTTAGTTCATTCAGTGTTTGGCTGACTTACATGGTATTGTCTTAATTTTGTCAAATCTGAAATGGGTTTATGAACAAGCTTTTTTGTATGTTACTTGTATCACAATTAGTTTATCCTTTCCTCCTTCCCAGGCGCTAGATACCATGCACTGCTGATTCCAGACTGTCCCGGGGCTGTGACTGACCTTGCAAACAGTGGGTACCTGGCTAAGATACTGCAGCACTTCAGCACAGAGAGCAGTAGGTGAACATCCTCAGATATTTTGTTAAATAAAATAGTACTAAAGTACTGTTCCTGTAAAACTGTTACCTTCCAGTGGCTTAAAAATGCTTACACAGTTGAAGAGCATTCAGAACTGGGAAGAGCTGCTTTAGAGAAATGTGTCGTCTTTATGGAACTGTCTAGTTCTTGTAACCGTAATTTTTCAGTGCCTGTGTCAGAAGAGGGTTCTCTACAGTGGTACAGAAAAGTCTCTTCAAGTCTGTAGGATTCAAGGTTCAGAGCCAAATGTGGAATATACCAGGACCATCATTAAGGCTGTAGCTCATCAGGGCTTTTTTGTGCTTCTCATTTACCATTTGAGTGTATGTTTTTCTGTTTGACTAGTGCTGTTTCTGGACTTGGAGTTAATAGCTAGTAACTTAGCAAGTGGACAGGAAAAAGCTGTACAGCCTAAGAGACTATAAGCGCTGCAGTGTAACTTTATTGCAGGAAGGCAACATGCTGTAACACGAGGGATCTCATTAATGCTTCTCTGTTCTGGAGATTTGAAGATGCCTACAACTGCTCAAATATGCTTTGCCTCTTCCCTAGAGCCTATCTGTGCCATTGGACATGGAGTTGCAGCTTTGTGTTGTGCCACCAATGAGGATAAATCCTGGGTGTTTCAGGGATACAGCCTGACAGGGGTAGGTTGAGTTTTCCCCTAACTTGCTGGCTGGGGGCTTTTTTGCTGTGTGTGGGCCTGTAACTTCAAGTGGTGGTTCTGGTGTTCCTGGTCTTATCCTAGAACTGCCCACAAATATAAAGCATGTTTGGTACCCTTGGTTTATGTACAGACTTGTTGTTGAGGGGGTCCAGCACTGAGTGCGTGAAGGGATTGTCTCACCTCGCTGTTCCATGGAGAGTTTTCCTTCTGATTGTTCAGTAAACTTCAAACAGAATCAATAAAATGCTGGGAATGACTGCTGCAGCTCTTGGACTTCATAGCTGAGGGCTTTTAAGAATTACTTTTTTCGGTTTCATGAATGCTGGAGATAAGTTACATTTCTCAAGTTGCTCTTTAGTTTTAAAAAGTAGAGGAAGCCTTAGGAAAAAAGGCTGTTTGTACAGACTGGCTTGCAAGTCAAAAAGTAGCCAGATACTGTTGGTGGACAGTCATATCTCTGACATCACATCCTGTTTCTATGGCACTCGTACCTGTGCACCAAGAGGAAGCAAACCTCTCTAGTACAGCTCCTGGGGTTGAAAATTTACACGCAAAGTTGAGAAGTTAAATTTATGGGACTCGCAAAAGTTATCAGTGTCCTGATATGCTTGTATTTGGTGTTACAGTCCATAGTAAAATCTTTTAAATAAGAGGTATGATGTGGCCCAGCTATAGTTGCTATGGAAACCATAAAATTCAAGTTCCTTCTGTCATATAAACTGAACCTAGTACTCGATTTTTCTCTTCACTTAAGCTGTTTTCCATATTCATAGTGGTGTTTGGACTCAGCAAGTGGCACAGCCTTTGTGTCCAACAGCTAAGCAGGTCTGCACTTTCATGGCTAATCCCTGCACGCTGTTCAGCGTCCTGGCCATGTGCACGGAGTGCTTGGTGTCACTATTTATCTTGTGTAAGAGTTTTCACTTTGCTCCCTACAGAAAACCTACAGAAGCTGCTTGTGGTCATTCGGTTTTATGCTTTGATTGCTTTGTGTCCTGTATACAGTTGGGAGAATTGTAGGGAGAACAGAAAAATAAATTGCAGGTGAAGTTGTTTGGTTTTGGTTGGCTTTTTTATAAAAAGTAAACCAAACTTTCCTTTTGCTCTTTTCCAGCCTTCTGTGTATGAACTAGTAAGGCAGCCGAATTTTGCCAGTTTGTCCATTATTGTGGAAGATTTTGTGAAAGATTCGGGAGCCACGTTTAGTGGTAAGTCACTCTTGTTGTCCAGCACTTCATGTGTTGTGGCTGCGTGCCGGTTCCACGCAGCTGAACAGGACTGTTCATCTTGCATTCCCATTTTGTGAAAAAACAAATATCCCAGTGGATTAGAAACGATGAGTGTTTTAAGAAGGGCCGTGGAATAGTGGGTGTGGAGAGGTTCATGTGTCGTGGCTGCGTGCCGGTTCCACACAGCTGAACAGGACTCTGACAGCCTTTGTCATCTTGCATTCCTATTTTGTGGGAAAAAAAAAAAAAATCCCAGTGGATTAGAAACGATGAGTGTTTTAAGAAGGGCCGTGGAATAGTGGGTGTGGAGAGGTGCAGTTCAGCACACCGATCTCTGTGGCTGTCCACACGTGCTCTTTTACCCCAGCGTAGACATGAGGGCGCTTGCCCTGCTGTGAAGGAAGAAGGGAAGGGTGTGTGCAGCAGAGTTGTCATCGACCTACAGCTGCTTCTCTGCTGCCAGGCAGGGAGTGTGTGCTCTGCTGGGAGGGGCTAAGTTCTTGATTTTGGAGTTGTCTTTTATGCAAGCACATGGTTCCACTCTTTAAAGCTGGAGGCACTAATGAATGTTTCTAGTTGCTCTGATTAGGTGTGTTTTACCATCAGGTATTTTACTCGTAGCTACATCTGGTTTTGTAGTCTTTGTTTCATTACTAGTATTTCACAGAATCATAGAATCCTTTAGGTTGGAAAAAGCCCTTAAAGTCATAAAGTCCAACCCTTAACCTGACACTGCTAATACCACCACTGCTAATATCGTGTCACCAAGTGCCTCATCCGCTTGTCTCAAATCCCTCCTGGGACAGTGGGTTCACCACCTTCCTGGGCAGCCTGTTCCAATGCCTGACAGCCCTTTTGGTGAAGAAATCTGAAATTCTGTCCTGTGTGAGAAACTTGAAAGCACTAAAGCACAAAAATGTCACCTTTTCCTAGACGATTTCTGGATGTGCAGGGAAAAGTGTCGTTCTCCTTTACATGCAGTGCTGAAGAGGGAGAATGAAATCAGCTATAAATTCTCCTTTACATGCTGCTTTCTTGCAGTGCTGAAGAGGGAGAATGAAATCAGCTATAAATAGGTCTCTTTGGTTGCAGATGGCATTCAGTCTGCTTTTTTGTTAGGTATTTTTTTTTTTAGAATCTGTCCTTCAAGAGAACAGTGAGATGCCTGTGGTATTTAAGTCCTTTATTTAACAGAATAGTGTCAGCCACTGAACTGATAGAATTTGAAGTGGCCAGATTAGAGATCACACACGTGGATGGGACACACCAGGCTCCTAATGCCGTGCATCTATTTTTCACTAAGAAGAAATACCCCTGTCTTATCATATTGCTGTATAGTCTTTGCTTAATCCTCTTCCATCCGTGCTGCCGTCAGCCTGGTTGTGTGTTCAGACGGCGTCTTTATGCTCGGAGTGAGCTGCTGCTGCCACCTTCTGCATGACGGGGTCAGTGCTGACCGGTTAGAAGCCGGGACCTGTTATGTCACTGTGCTGGGCTGCAGTGGTCCTGCCAAACTAAGCAAGAGGAGGAAAAGCGTGGGGTTAGAAGGCCTGTGTTTAGATAGTCAGTGGCTGGGAGAGGGAGAAGAAAATTGGTTTTGTTACTGACAAACTAACGTCTCTGTCTGGGATGAGTTAACTTAAATACTAGTTGGAGGACTGGACAATTGCTGGTAGATAATAACACGTCGGGGTGTTACTGGCCAGAAAGTAAGTACCTTCCTGCTGGCTCTCTGTAGCATGGTGATTACAACTTCGATGTCTTACATAAGAAGAGTTTATATTGTACTGCAGCGTAGTTCCAACTTTAAAATGTATGCTTTGAGGTTTTTATTATGAAAATCAAGACTGAAGTCCCCACTAACAATCCTTGTTGCTGTTCTCCTTTGTTTAGCCAGCAGTCCGGATGCTGTACATGTTGTGCTGGACAGGCACCTGGTGACAGGACAGAATGAAAATTCCACTCTTCCTGCGGTCCAGAATCTTCTTATTCTTTGCAATGTGAGGTGAGTCATCACAGAATGGTTTCGGTTGGAAGGGACCTTAAAGCCCACTCACTCCCACCCCCTGCCATGGGCAGGGACACCTTCCACTAGACCAGGTTGCTCCAAGCCTCATCCAGCCTGGCCTTGGACACTCCCAGGGATGGGGCATCCACAGCTTCTGTGGGAACCTGTCCCAGTGCCTCCCCACCCTCTGCGGGAAGAATTCCTTCCTGATGGCCCATCTCCATCTCCCTCTTTCTGTTTAAACCTGTTACCCCTTGTCCTGTCACTCCCTGCCCTTGAGAAAAGTCTGTCCTCCTTCTCCCCCCAAGGCTTTCTTGTAAGCCCTGGGAGATAAAAACGGGGAACAGACAGTGGGGAGCATCTTTCAGGAATATTGTCCCCCCAGAAGAATTGTTTTGCCTAAGTTAAATGCTGAAGTGCGTGACGCCTTTGATCTAGCGGTTCAAAAATGTCTTTGCGTAAAAAGCCTTTGTGATTATTAAAAAAAGGTAAAATGGGTTGGGAAATGCACAGCTATCTATCAGGGCTGGCAAAGTACAATGCAGAATAGTCTCACTAAGCATTTCTGTTCAGAAAAACGTATCTTGCGTGTCGTTCTTTTGGCAAGTTAGTGTTTAGTCAGCTGTTCTAGGATTCGGGGGGGGAAGAGATCTAATTTCTTTGGTAATGGCTTGGCCATTTGACTTCTCTTGCATCTTGTTAGAGAGAACACACATAAATAACCACAAAAATCTTCTTTTGTTCAGGTGAATGTGTTAAAAGTCCTTTCCTGGCTGTGGACTAACAGGTCGTGTCATGTTTGGATGTGTTTCCTTCCGCAGGAAATGAAGGAGCAGGTCTCTTTGCAAATAGGATGGATGAAGAGCCAGGAGGCTAAGGATTTTCTTGTCTGTTAACTGGTTAAAACATGCCTCTAAATTTGTCCTGGACTGTGAAGTGACTGTGACAGTGAAGTGGCAGTGTCAGGTTTTGCATATAAGGATGGATGACTGTTGTGAATAAGAAAACTTTCAAGTGCATCACGCTTCAGCAGCAACTGTGAAACCACTCTGTATTTTTGGTTGCTATATCTTTTTTCACTGCTTCTCTAGACCCTCGATTGACAAATGTGGGGAACTGCCTTCATAAAAAGAAGTTGGTGCTACGAATACAAATTGCTGAAGTGAAGACCTTGCTCTAGGCTGATGTTATACTGATTGTTAGTAACTCTGCCCCAGAGAGCACTTGGAACTCTGAACCATCTGGTGGTTGTGTTTCAAATAGCGAAATCTACAGGTAGAGCTTTGCTGAAATGCGATTTCAGATGCGTTTTCGCCTCTCGGTCGGTCACAAAGCTGCTGTCTGAACTCTGAATGTGTCTGGGACACTTGGATACACGTGGAATAGGATGGCAGATGCTCAGCTAAACTCTGAATAAAGCAGAACCAGTTGTGCGGAGGCAGCATAATGTGCCCTTGTTTTCTTCCTTGCCTGCTCAGATGGCTGGACTTGTGTTTAAAAAGCTTGCTCAGCTGTTTTTGCATGGTCTCCTGACTGGTCGATTGTTCTCCTTTGGGGTGCTCTTGTTATGATTCTTGTTCGCTGAAATGTTGGATATTTCTCTCTGGCAAGTACACTGCGGTTGTCTCTTGTTGGGATTTTATGGACAAAGGAAGATAAAGTGTAGGCAGCTCATGTGGATCACATCCTCTGAGGATCCAGCTGTCAGGTGGAATCTGGCCTTCTCTTTCCTTCTGAGCAGCAGGTGTGGCTTGAAGCTGAGCATGGAAAGGGATGAGCAGACTGAGAATATGGGGTGGGTTTTTTTGCATTTGCAGGCTCAAACATGCTAAATCTAAAGGAAAGTAGACAGATTAACGTTTTTCCTTCCCTCTTGGAACAGAGGGCAACACTTCTGCAGTGCTCTGTGAGGGAAAGGACCTTTGTGGTTGCATTTATTTTTTTCTTAACAAATCTATCATATCATCCTGTTAAAACTAGTCATCAAGCAAGGTAATTTTGTGCCTTTTCTGTAGAAATTCAGTTTTTTAGTTCTGTCTCAAGAATTCAGAGTGAGTTTAAAAGATAATCTCCAGTGGGATTTATTGGGTCTTCTGTTAGATTCTGGAGCCCATCTTATGGATTTGGGGCTTTGCTAGAAATTAAAATTGGAATTTGAAATTAAAATTGGGCTTTGCTAGAAATTAAAGTATCAAGTAGCTTTGATAGCTTAAATCCTCATTCCTGACAGGTCGTCTTGGGGACTTACTGACCTCTGTCACCGTCAGGACATACTTCCCATCCGGATTTCTTGTGGCCTGGCTATTGAAATGACCTGGCAAGTTCTTGTATGTGGAGTTGGGGTCACTGTGCTGAGCACTGTGCACCTACTGCAAGGAGACACTCTGTGCCACTGGAAGCCTTGTTTCATGGAATCATAGAATGGTTTGGGTTGGAAGGGACCTTAAAGATCATCCAGTCCCCCCCCCTGCCATGGGCAGGGACACTTTCCACTAGACCAGGTTGCTCCAAGCCTCATCCAGCCTGGCCTTGGACACTTCCAGGGATGGGGCATCCACAGCTTCTCTGAGCAACCTGTCCCAGTGCTTCACCACCTTCACCACCTCTTTAAATAGAGAAGGTGAAGCTTTATGCCCTAGACGCCACTGATTGCCTGAGCAGGGAGCTTAGGGAGGCTGGAGTTGGGTATTTGGAGTCCTGGAGAAGGCAGGTGCAACTTAGGTGGTTTCTGGGCCGAGGGAGCTTTGCCACACCTGATTTAAGCTGGCTGCAGCTGCGAAGTGAAGGCTGGTTTCTGAGCTGGGAGTCTGCGAGGCTACAGGTCTTGTGACCTTGGAGACTGCTTCCATGGGGCTGAGTCAAAATTGCTAGACCTGTCATGATTGTTGCTGTTTGCCCTGTGTCTTGTTCTCATCCTTAATTGTGACATCCTGTCCGGGCTCATCGAGAAGCTGCAAGGTGAACAAACAGTATTTAGACTGCTACAATCAATTTGCTATTGTACTATTATTCCTTATTTTCTGGTCAGTCAGGACCTGTTGGAACTGCCTTGTTTGTGGCTGTATCGGGAATTACACCGATGTACACAGTACACTGCCTTTGGATTTTTGTAACACTTCCTCCTTCGCATCTGGGAGCAGATGAAGAGGAGTTACGGTCTGTGTCTTCGTTCTTTCACATCACAGCTCCATTTCTATCTCCTCAGTAATCTAAACTGTCCCCAGTGTGGAAGCTGCTCTTGCAAAATAGAGGGACAATGGCACGATCCAGCAGAAAGTGGCTGGAGAGGTGATGTGCGCCTACAAATTTCTGAGGCGGTTGGTTGATGAGGAGGATGTGGCCTAATTTCCAGTGGCAAAGCAAAAGGACTTTGGTATAAACAACCCTCTCTCATGTGGCTGGTGGGCAGTGGGTCATCTTTAGAAACCACACTGACAAACTGAGCAATTAGGGGTGATGGCTCTAAGTTCTCATACACCAAAACTGGAAATAAGCTTTCTAAATCTGGAGGGAAAAATAGATAAAATTAAACAACTTCACTTATTTTCTACTTTAATGTTATACCAGAAACATCCAGGAAAGTTTTATTCTAATGTGAGGGTGGTGTTATGTCAGTGGGTTAAACTGTGAATTCATAATTTTGTCTTGCTACGGTTTGACTTTACCATCTGCATACAGGTATGTCAGTGGATTAAACTGTGAAGGCAATATCCATAATTTTGTCTTGTTATGGTTTGACTTTACCATCTGCATACAGGATTAATTGCACTCTCAGGAATGCTGTATAGAGCTGGTGACCTTTAAGTTTTTTAGTTCTTCGTTTTGGAAGAACTTTCAGTGCAACTGTAAACCTTTTGACACCACAAAAATTTTCAACAACACATCAGACCAGTTGTGTAACTGGGATTTGTTTCGAAACCGAAAGCAGCGGGGCTGAAGGACAGGCTCCAAAAGCAACAGCGTGTCTACAGCTTGGGGTACTGCAGCATCATTCCCTGCTTTTGTTCCATGTTAATTTTCTTCTAAACACTTGATTTTTTGTTTGTTTGGGTTTTTTAAATTTTTTATTTTGCTTAAAAGGTATTTACACCAACTAAAATGAAGTGACACTACAGACCAGTGATTCTTGGGCAGGTCTTCAATTTAAACTTCCTGTGTGAAGCATTTGAGTACCTCAGTTTGTACCTTCTGACCCTTGTGCTGTACTTCCTTCTGGGCCAAACCGAGAAGCAGGCAGTGAAGTATCACATCCCAGGCATCCGAGCAGTGATTTATCCTGAGTTTGTCTTCCAGCACTTAATGTCATGCCTTAAAAAGGCATGTATTCTCCTCTCCTTGGCTGTGAAAATACTGCATGTTCGAACGGCTCAGCAGCCCCACTTTCAATACTTTTCTTACCCAATTATGCCTAACAAGGCCGTGACAAATAACAGCAGCTGGGTTTTGGGAGTGAATTAGCATAGATAAGATGCTGCTGCTTATTGCCTTCTGCCTGCTGACCTTTATCAGCATCTCAGCTTGTGGTACAGTTAGTGTTGTCTCTGCTTTGCCACCGTGCTTCAGTTTACACTTAATCTGAATGCAAAGATACGTGGGTATGATCTAGTGAGGTGGGTCAGAAGTCACGTGTAACTGACTTGAACTGGTGAGAAATCAGCTAGCAGCAACTTCAGGATTTCCCAAAACATGCCAGCTCTTGCCATACTCATTCAGCACGTGTTCTGCAGCGTGATGGTTTCCGCTCTACCTGGCTGGAACGTAGCAATTAGAACGCTGCCGGGAGGATGAGCTTTTGGCAATGCTTGCAAATGCTCGGTGTTTCAGTGTCTCTGTGATCAGTTGTTTATAGAGGATTCTGGCATTTACAGCACGTGATGGGCCCTTTTGTCCCCGATCCAGAAACTGCTTCTCAAACAAATTGAAAGCTTCAAATTCTGGAGACTTTCAACCCACACAAATCCTGGTTTTGTGTTGTGCTCTGGAACTTTGGTCCTAGGGGAAATCAGCCAGGCTTATTTCCTTAGAAATTGTCTCTTCCTGGTAACAGCCAGCTGCTGATTTTTTAATTAGGGAACCACACACATGAAGTGTTACATCTTATCTGGACTTAATGCATGGGAACACACTCTGTAGTTTCCTCTGTGGGCAGACAGTGAAGTAGGTGCTAGAAGCATCAGCGTGCCTCTGCAATAGATGGAGCAGAAACGTTATGGGATGAATCCAGAGGGACAAGTCTATTGATGTGAACCAGCCACATATATAATATATATTAAATACATATAATGCTATATGCTTGGAGAAGTCTCTGTTGGGCTTATTGTAAGAGGGAAAGATGCAAAAAGGTTAAATTGAGAAGGGACCCAGTGGGGTTGTGCCCCTGGGGAGAAGGATTCCAGGCTAAAAGACGTCCCAGGTGTATGAGTGACAGCAGGATTACCCAGAGGAGAGACCAGGCACTTTCCAGGTATTTTCTGAGCTATTTGGTACCCACAGAGATCAAGGGAAGAGCTTGGCTCCCAGGTGTATGAGTGGCAGCAGGATTATGCAGATGAGAGACCAGGCATCTTCCAGGCATTTTCTGAGCTACTTGGCACCCACAGAGATCAAGGGAAGAGCTTTCTGATGGGAATGACTTGACTGCGGAGTGAAGTGCAGGATGGAGGGGTCTGCCAGGTGAGTTCATGTTGATGGCTTCAATCCAGGGACCAAACCAGCTGCTCCCTCCCCTCTGAGCTATTTGTGGCTTGCAGTTGGCCTTTGCACAGAGGTCTTTGGGCTCTGATTGGCATAGCTCGTACCTCCTCAGTGCGGAAGGGAGGCTGGCAGCTGGAGAAGGATCTCAAACTGAGAAGGGATCCAGAGAGCTGGTTATGGTTGTTATCAGAAGGCAGGCTAAAGATTCAGGGGTGGTGGAGGTGGTTGGGTTAGCAGTAACATCCATCCACCTGCATGGTGCTAGAGGAGATTGCTAGGGAGGCAGCAGTGTCAGGAGGAAAAAAAAAACCAAACATTTAAAACCTCTGTAGGGCACTTGGTAGGACTGGGGAGAAGGTGAAAGCAGCTCTCAGGTGAATGAATTTGGACTCTTATTTGGTTTATTTTAAGGATAAAAGTAGCTTGCCAATGGTGACTCCCAGTGCCACAGTGTGACACTGCACCTGGACGTGTGGGTCACGGTTGCCTTTGTCAGGGGCTGGCATCTTCAGGAGCTGCCTACCAGTCACTTGCTGATGTGTGCTGTCATGCTGTGTGTGCAAAAATGCAAATTTGCTGGTAATGGGGGAAAAACCCCTCCGTTTTTCAGGCAGGGTGAAAGGACAGCAGCAGCCCAGCTGCAGAATCTAAGTCAGGGTATCCTTGGATTTGTTTGCTCATAGTCTGCTTCCTTGTTCTGTTGGAAAGGAATATGTCTCCATAAACACGTGGCTTCCCCGCTGACTTTCAGTGACCACTAATGCTTCTCTTTCTGGAGAGTTAGAAACAAAATGGTAAAAGGCCTTTTGGGGAGTTTGATGCCACGTTGCTGATTTGTGGAGCCTGGCCTGGCTCAGCAGGTCTTCCTGAGAAGATCTAATACAAGATCTACTACAAGTCCTGTGAAATAGGAGAATACATACTCTGCAGGCAAAGTGGGAGGAAGGGGAGTGGATTGTAAAGGCTTTTTGGGGCAGGATTAATCCCTAGATAAGCACTGTCCATTCGGGCTGTAACCTCCAGGTCGTGTTCCTGGGAGCCAGTCTTGGGCCAGGTGAAATGACTTGGTTTTGGCTATGAGAGCTGTTACAATGCAGAACTACTGTCAAATCCAGCTACTTCTGGATCTGACCCTTTGTCAGTAGCAGCTAAAGCTGGGACAGATGCAGGGAAGTGATTGTACATCAGATTCACAGCTGAGCTTTTCCAAGAAGCTGGCCAGTAGCTCTCAGTGTTGTGCAGAAAAGGCACGTTGGTGCCCCAGGGCTGCCTGACGGCACTGCGTTGCCTTGGAATTACCTGGGTTTTATAATGTCAAATAGGTATGAATCTCAGAGTGACTCAGAGAAAGGAATCCACAAAAAGCTTCCTGTTGATACCAGTGGGCTGGCGAAGGCAAAGTTCAGACAGGCAGTCCTCTGTTACATCTAGGATGAAGCTGGTATGAGGACCAACCAGCCGGGGTCAGTGCTAACTCAGGTAGCTCGGTTTCGTGCAGCTCTCAGCAGTCTAATCCTGCCTGGACACCTGTAAGAGTGCAGTAGTTGCCTAAAATACCTCTTAATTCCTTTGCTAAGGCGTCAGGCATTAGGATGTGCTTGCCTTGGTGCAAGACAAGCTCTGGCAGGCTGAAAATCATTCAGGTATCTAGGTGAAGTTACAGCCTTAGAGAGGCTTATCACCCCTCAGTGATGTGGGGAAGCAAGATCCTGGCTTTTCATGGAGACCACAGGCTTCTGTGCACAGCAGTTCTGTGTTTGCCACTTCTGCAGCCCCAGATCTTCATCTTCAGAATATAGGAAATACCTGAGCTCTTAATCAGTGGCATTGTGTAGGGTGTTCCCAGTTCACGAGATTAAGTAGGTTTGTTGCTATGGGGAAATACTTTTGTTTGGATGACAATCCCCATCCTCCCCTGTCATATGTTCCGATCATTGTGATGGCAGTTTTCTAAAAACACACTCAAGTGCCTGCTCAGGGGTTGTGTTACCTTGCAGGAGTCATCTCTGGTTGCTCTGGCTTGCCATGGGTCTTGCTGGTTTGTCATCTCTGCGGCTGTCAGTCTCCCGGAGCAGGGCAGTGCACTACAAGCTATCCCAGGGAAGTGTAATTCTGGATTGGCTGAAAACCTCACTCCCTTACCTGAGGAGGTCAGGACTTCACACTTTAGTAACTGTTAACAAACAAACTCACCTGCTTTGAAAATTGGGGTCTGTTAAGGAGCTAGAGAGATGTGGAGAAAGCTGGATCCAAAGCAGAGAGCCTACAGACTTGTGCTTGGTGCCTCTGCTGTTCTTAGAATCAGACTGGTTTGGGTGGGAAGGGACCTTAAAGCCCCTCCAGCCCCACCCCCTGCCATGGACAGGGACACCTTCCATAGCCCACGGTGCTCCAAGCCTCATCCAGCCTGGCCTTGGACACTCCCAGGGATGGGGCATCCACAGCTTCTCTGGGAACCTGTCCCAGTGCTCCCCACCCTCTGCAGGAAGAATTCCTTCCTGATGTCCCATCTCCATCTCCCTCTTTCCGTTTAAACCCATCACCCCTTGTCCATTCACTCCTTGTCCTTGGAAAAAGTCCCCCCCAGCTTTCTTGTAGCACCCCAGACACAGGAAGGGGCTACAGCGTCTCTCTGGAGCCTTTTCTTCTCCAGCTGAAACTTGAAGCTCAGTTCCCTTTCCAGGAGGATACAAATACTCCGTTAACAGCTTTCAATGACGGTAGTGATAGAAATCACAGCACACGCTGACTTGCAGTGGTAGGTCAGGCAGTTGTGTGGCAGCGTGGGGAGGTGGGGGCAGGGTAAAGCTTTTAATGCTGGCTTGACCTTTGAAAGGAAGGGAAAAAGGTCCCTCTGCCCAGTTTGCTTTCTGTCATCGCCTGCTTCTCGCTGTTCCCTACCCCTGTAAAGCAGAGGAGTCTGGATCCATCCCCTGAGGTGGCTTCATCTCCCTCTGGCAGGTTGGCACTAGTCCCCAGACCTCCCTTATTTGAGGGGTTGGCAGCGATTCCATGACCGTTGCGTAAAGAGAAGCAGTAACTCCTCCCAGGACAACATACAAAGCTCTAACAGATGATCTTGAGTTGTATCCACATGTTCATCTGTGTCAGCTCAGATTAACCAATCATCAAGTTAGTTATTAACTGCTTGAGAGACTTAGTGAATTTTGAAAGTGTAGCCCTCAAAGCAGGAGGGGGTACGTGCAGCTTACGCCGGTGTTGCAATCCCAGTGGCATTTCAGTGTCGCTTGGGTCCGTGTTCTTGCTGTTTCCTTGGGCAAGTGGGAAACTAACTGATACGTGACGAAGTTGCTTAAAATTGCTTATGATCCAGCTTTTTCCCCTGCGTTAAAAAGCCTTGCAGTACTAATTATGATGCATTCACCAGGCTTGCCAAGCAGTAGGTCGCTACTGCTGCCACCCTGGCTGCAGAAAGAGGAAAGGAAGGGACTGGAACCTAGTTGGTTTAGGGCACAGACAAATATATATATATAAATAGTGTCTCTTCAGTCACTGTAAAGTGGTGTGAAAGACCTCTTAATGTATTAGGACTGTAAACTTAATTAGGAATTGAATACAAAAAGTGAAATTAAACCACTGTCGGGTGTGTCCTGCAGGAGCAAAAGGAACACGTGACAAGGGAAGTCTGTGTTAATTTGCATGTATTGACAAAAGTGCCACAAAAATTTGAAATTCTATTTGTCCCTTTGCAAATTGATAAAAAAGCATGATACAGAAATCTATCCATACATAGCATATGACTTTTACAGGTAAGACATTTGTACATCCATTTAACCTCAGGTGATCCACTCATTCAGCCTTGACCACTCGGGAAAACTCTTCTACTTTCCATTTTCAGCACTGACCATTCGCTCCTGGAAAGGAAGAAGTAAACAAACAGCAGCTAAGTAAGAGCTGGGGAACTGTGCTTCAGCAATGCAGGCTTCAGTCACTATTAAGCAGGTGTTCTTGCTGACTGATGAGGGATACTTGGTGTGTATTTTACCCCCCAAAACACACAGTTGGATGAAAGGCTCCCACTAAACCGCTGGAAGACTTTCACTGGGCTGGGCTACGTGGGGCACACCTGTTCTTGGTGCCTCCTAGTGCCAAGTACAAACATGATTTACTCCCAGCTCACTATCTGAAGATTATTTATGTCTTGTATGGCTGCTGACAGCTAACGAGTTTAGAATTAAGGAGCTTTTCACTTTAATGGTAGTGTTATCTTGATTGGCTGCCAGTCTGAACACTGCCTTGGGCCTCACACAGCAGGTGTGACTACAGCTGGCACCAGTTCTGTCTTGAGGTGCAGTGAGGTTTACCAAGTTCACTTAATTTAGGTGGCCAGTTTGCTCGCTGCCTGTCCTACATAACATGCACTGCCTGTATAAAAACCTGATCCAACTTGCTTATGCATTCCTAATCCTTAGCCGTACCATGCGGTGCTGCGGGGTTAGCTCCAGTACTTGGAGGAACAGGAGAGGGGACAAGAGGCAGCATGATGTAACATCTACCTTTAACATCCTCTCCAGTTTAATTGCATCTGCAGCAAATTTTCTGATCCCATCAGATAGTTTCTCCACAGCCATTTGGTCTTCGTTATGGTGCCAGCGGAATGCCTTCTCATCCAGGTGGATCTTCTCAAGCTCACATGCCTGAGCTGTGCAAGGGAGAGTGAAAAAAGAAAGGAGCCATCTTCCCAGGTTCTTGTCAAACCCCAGAGGCTTCCTCAGTCTCAAGGTTCTGACTATCTGAACCAAATGAAGAATTCTCAACACCACTTTCAACACGTTCTGCTATGTGAGCACAGTTTGGGATGCAAGAGGGAAAGTGCTCCTGGACGTGGTTTGCAGGGTAAGGAGGAAGGCAGCCTAGATATTCCGTTTCTCTTAAAATCCAGTGTTTATGTCATGATCTTGTACCTGCTGCTGAGTGGTACGGGGCTTTCGGGCCTGTTACAAAGAGTTAGGCAACAGTCCTACTGCAGTGAGATGTTCTAAGCAAATACGCTGAACAATGGGGTCTTTGATTACTTGCACGTACCTCACAAAAGCTCAATTGATAACATGCCTACAAGCCAGCTCTAGCACCCTGTGAGCAGCTACAGCTGGGCACAAATCTCATCGTCTGAGTAGCAGCATTTAAGTAAGGCTACGGCAAAGGAAGGGGAGTGCAATGGGAACGTACATTCGAAGCCATCGTGGCACAGTATTACTAGGTCAAATCAGCGTTGCATACAATTCATTTCTGGAGTTCCTGGAGGGAAAACACACCCTTTGGCATGTCTAGAGCTAATTGCATCACTGATGCAATATTAACAGAAGGTGAAACCAGGTCTGGCATCTGTGCTAATGCTCGGTAAGCTTTTACCCCAAGCTCATGAAGAATGAAATTCCTCCCCTGGTCTCCCCATCTCTCAAGAGAAGCTGCACAGTATTTAAAGCACACTCCAAACCCATCCTAATTCCAGTTGGAGCACTCTGTGGGACTCAAGACCCTGCAGAAGTGATGTTGGCAACTGTAGCAGCGCTGTTGTAATGAGGCTATAGTATTTCCTGTAGTGAGACATCACAATTTACCCTTGACATTCCACAAGAAAGGGAGACAGAGCAAGGCTGTTACACAGAAGCAGACTGCTGTGGACTTACCCTCTTTCACACTGAGCGTGGGAGTTAACTTCACGTACTCTTTGCTGAGCTCTGCCAAAAGCTTGGGTGAGATAGTGAGATAGTCACAGCCCGTAAGCGCTTTTATTTCTCCCGTGTTTCGAAACGAAGCACCCATCACTATAGTTTTGTAGCCAAACTTCTTGTAGTAGTTATAGATCTTTGTGACACTCTTCACTCCTACAAATGATTCAGAACATGCTCAAAACCATTTTGTCACAAGAGGGCTTATACAAGTAAACTGCACTTTGAATGAGTAGCCATTGTATTTTTAAAATGTATGTTAAAAGGAAACTTTACCTGGATCCTCTGAAGGCTCATAGGTTTTCTTATCTCCATTTGCAACATACCAATCCAGGATACGTCCTACGAACGGGGAAATGAGAGTAACTCCAGCTTCGGCACAGGCAACTGCCTGAGCAAAGGAGAACAGCAAGGTCATGTTGCAGTGAATCCCATACTCTGCTTCCAGAACCCTGCAGACACAGGTGGGCTTAAACCAGCACTTTGCTCTCCTACTGGATTTATATTCTACTAACGAGCCAGTGGGTTAAACCCATGAATTTCTTGAGTTAAATTAGCAATGTGGTACAGTTTCTAAGCTTCAAGCTAACAGCAAATGTTTTGTGCTGCCAGACTCAGCTTTATTTAATGCTGTTCCTTGAACCAAATGCAAACAACTTAGCATGGCATTTTGAGAAAGTCTGTTTGTGGCCTGGCCCTTATATGAACAAACTTTTCTGATTTTGAGAGAAAGCTGTAGCCCTAGTAACGCGCTTCCTGGTGCAGTGCTTTCAAAACAATTCTTAAGTGCAGCATGCCTTTGTCGGGTGCCTGTGAACAGGCAGAAGCACGCTATGAATCAGCACACCAGGTACAGCAGTACTTACTTGCCGGCCTGGATTCCTTCCCATGTTGAAGACAGCTTGATGAGAATACGATCTTTACCAATTCCTGCTTCCTTATAAAGGTCAATGAGGCGCCTGGCCCTTTGAATCATTCCTTCCTTATCAAAGGACAACCTTTGAAACAAAACCAAGACCACTTATAACTGGCTTTCTTTTTACTGAAATGCTGCTGCCTCCCCGCCCCCACTGAAAAACATCCCATTTTATCAGCATTTATATGCCAACAGGAGGTTTTTGTTCTCAGAGGTACTTCCCGGATCATGAGCCCATCAAGCAGGTGTATGACAGCATTGCTCCTCTTGGATTCAGAGGATCCAGAGCTCAGGATAGCTTTCCTTGAGGAAGTTATAAAGCTTTCCTCAAGTTTTTCATAATGAATGTAGAAGCTGAGCATTAGAAATGAAGGGGCCAGGAGCAGGTTAACAGACAAATCCTGTGCAAGTCTTGAAATAAACTGTTAGAATAGATCTCTTGGTAAATGGGGAAGATATTATCACTCAAAAGAGAATGAGCAAAACTAAGTATATGGAAACGTGGGGTGTCTGTTGCTTGAGGCATTACTTCTCATAAAGTTTTGTCACCAAATCATTATCAAGCAAACTCAGTAAAATCCACTGTCTAATTAATTCAAACTCTTGCTAGTCTTAAATCAGCGAGCTGTCTAGTCAAGAACATCTTTCTCCAAGTCACATCATGTCTCTGTATGTACAAATATCCAGGGTAACCCAGAGGAAAAAGAGCCAACCTTGCATCTACTTCTGTGGACACACGGCCAGGTATCCTCTTCAGTATTTCTGCGCCAAATAATACAAAAAGCTTGTCACAAGCATTTTTTATCTGCTCCTCTTCTGACCTGAAAACCACAAAGAGCAAAATCATTTCTAGGGGTGGGGGGGAGAAGTGTATTTACACCTTGAAGATCAAATTTCACAGCCCATTTAACATTAAATTCCAGAGTTCAAATAGCCATTTCTGCTCTACTCCATGCTTCTGTTCTGCCCTCTCTGTACCACTCAGCCTTTGGACACTAGTTCCTATAAAGCTGTCAACTCCAGAGTGTTTTCCTCAGCAGTCCTAGTAGGCCACGTGTGAATTGGTAAATGGAGATGCACTTCTTCAAAGCGCATCTGAAACGAGCCTAAGAAATGTTAATTTAAGGGTTGAGGCTTTTTGGAGCAGGAGATACACCCATGAGTACATGAGGTGAAGCCCCCAGTACGTTGCTAGTAATACTAAATGCTATTTGTATAAATAAGGCCTCTTAACTATAGACCTACTGAGATAAAAACACCCTCTTTACTTACCCGCCAAGTTTTTTCCCATAGGCAACAGCATCATCCACGAGTTCCTGGTAAGCTGGCATCTGAGCAGCAGCTAGGATCAGAGATGGGTTTGTGGTGGCATCCAGGGGCTTGTACTCATCAATTGCTAGGGAAACAAAGATACCCTGTGTAAAACAATCAGCAGGGCCTGAGCAATTAAAAGGATTTTGCTCAAATATGTGAGAAGTACCAGAACACGGTTAACAGAGCTACAGTACCAGATACAGCGAAGTTTAGTCACTACTTTAGACACTGCCCAAAAGAAACATAGCCGTAGGAGCGGCAGGTGAAGGGAAGCGGTACTCGTTTTCAGCCTCTCCCAACTGTCTGTATCGTAATCACCAGCATAGCCAAGTTCTGGGAATCACCGGGAGGAAGTAAAGACAAGGGGATCTTCCCTCCCTTCTAGCAGTCATGGAATGGTTTGGCTTGGAA